CTCTGTACTATGAAATGCGACAAAACAACCCTTCACCTTAACAGTCAACTCTCACATATTTAACGATGTTAGTTTATGCTGTGTAATTATATTTTTACCCCTCCTTTTATTTGATAGAAGTAGCCCCTTTTAGACTTTGCAATTTGGGGGAAAAAAATATCAAACACGTTCTGCAAAATACATTGGAAGAAACTTTCCCCTCTTCCCCTGTCATTCATCTTCTCCCCCTGCAATTCAACACATCATAGACGTCTTTGAAGAAATTTGAAGACAACTGGTAATGACTTGGGGGCTGAAGGTGCTCCAATTTCATAATTTAAACCCCCATTTAGCCAAATTTCACCAAGTAACCAATTTTTACCCTAATTTCAATTTTGACCCCAAATTTGACCCGCCACCACCGGAGATCGCCGGAGACCCTCGGTCTCCGGCGTAGACTCTTTTTTTTTTTTTGAAAACTTTTTTTGTCTGAATTTTGTTTCCGATAGGTCAACCCCTACGGCTTTGACTTTTTTTTTTTTTTTTGTGAATTTTGTTTTTTCTTAAAAAAATTTTTATTAATATTTTTTTTGTGAATTTTTCCCTTGTCATGTCCTTTTTTTGTCATTTGCCATAATTATTAATTATTATTAATTGTTATTTAAGTTTTAGTTATAGGGTTTTTTATGTAATTTCACTTATAAGGTAGGTATCGTACTTTTTTATGGGGTTCGTACAAATCATACGTGTCACATTTTTATTGGTTGATTTTCAATCGTTTGGGTCCGAGTATACAACCCCTCTCAGAGCCTAGATAACCCCAAATTTGTTTTGATCTCCCGATGTTTTTGGGAGATTTAATTTTGATTTGATTAAGGGTATTTTTGCCACAATGAAAATAATTAATTTATTAAAATTAGCAAATTTTGACTTGAATTTACATAAATTATAATATAGAGCGACCTATATCAAATTGCTGCCTTTTTATAAGCTAAAAGCATGGGCCAGTCCCTACAAATTTTTAGTAGGTCTATTAGTACTAATTCACAATATTTACCTGCACTTCAGTCCCTAGGTTTTGTGAAAATCTAAACTACAATTTACTTCAGGGATGACGAAAACAAATATCATTTTTTTCGCACTTCAATTCTAATAAAATGAAAAATAAACAATACATAAATAAATAGATAATGACATTAATATTCTGAATGAAAAATCAATACCACACAAATATAAAAGAAATATCATTTTCTTTGTAATACGACACACTAGGGTTGGACATGGGTTGGGTTGGGTCGACTAATTATCGATCAATTACCTACCCGACCGGATCAACTGATTTTTCTGAGTACTGAAAACCATTACCAGCCCGACCGTTGTGGGTCGGATAATAGTTGACAATCATCTTTATCAGCTAAAAAATTGGGTCGCTTTGTTTGTATTATCGGCCATTTAATTTTTTTTCTTTATTACAATAATAATGTTATTCTATCAACTTTTTTGTAAGTTTTTTTCAGAAGATATTTTGGAAAAACTTATGTTACAAAAAATCAAACCTCAATTTTTAGAGTATTCTTTACTAAATTTTACAACAATTAAATAAATAAAGACGAATAAGAAATACGAATTTATAAAATAAAATAGTACTCAATGTTTTAAAACTTTGTATGTTAAATTATTTGATATATTATTATTAAATTTATTTGTTTAGTTATTTTCCCTAATAATTATTATAATTTTATTAGATTCATTAACATTAATATTTATCATATTGATTTTAATATTAAAAAAGTCGGTTGGTCAGGTAATTATCGGCCAACCGAATTTTGAGTAAACGTGAATCATCGACCAACCCATTTTTACATGGGTCGGTTACATTTATCGGTCCGACTATGCGTTGATTAATTATCGGTTATCGACCATAACAAGTGGGTTGGTTGGCTATTAAAATCGACCCATATCCAGCCCTACAACAAATGAAAATAAGGAGATTGATTTTTTTTTTATTTTTTTCTATACGATATAAATTTCAATCAAGAGTATTTTTTTACTTTAAGGTATCAAACTAAGAAAAGGTTTCAAAAAAATGTGGAGATATGTGGCCTTCAACTAAAAGGTCATTAGGCTACAATGCAAGACAAGCGACAAAATTTGGCGACGGAAAAAGACCTTTGCGATGATTTCTCGGGTCTTGCAACGAAAAACTATTCATCACCAAATCGGGCAAGAATAGTCGCCAAACGCCCCGTCGCAAAGCCAACATCGAAGAATAAATTTGCGACGAATCGCAACAATCTTCGCCAATTTTGTATTTTCGGAGAAAAAATGTTCTTTTTATTTTTCACGACGGATTCCGCCCTTTCGTCGCTAATCTCTAGCGACGAATACATAATAAGTCGAAAATATGCGCGACGATAACTCGTTCCGTCGCCAAAAGTAACAACGTTTGGAACATTTTTGTCGCAATTATTTTGAATTTTTTGGCGACTCAAAATAATTTTCTTCGCAAGCCACACGACATAGTTGCGATGATTTTTATATATGATTCATCACAAGGCATCGATCATGTTTGCGACGATTTTGTATTAGTCGCAAAGTTATTTCTTTTAATATTAAATTTGGTTTCTTCTATTATTTTCAATTGACAAATTAAACATGTATTATAAGCTGCTCTAAAACACAATTATTATATCAAAAATATTAAAATCAAATTTATGGATTAAATATGAAGGTAGCACACAAACATGAATTAAAAAATACATAAAAACTTAAAAAGCATATAATGTAGTATGTTGTTACAAACTTTAATTCAAAAAGCACGGAAATTTCATTGCTTTTTATACTCCACCATTATTTGAAGAGTCGACGTTGAGGCTTGTAATACTTGTTGTCTAAAACGCTCCATCAAGGTGTTCACAATTGCTCGAATTTCTTGCAGTTGCACTTCCAATCGATCCACTTTTTCATTTTTAATTTGCATTTGCTCTTGCATTGACTTCATTTGGATCTCCACTTCCGGTGGAGTTGAAAAAAATCTCGACTTTCCAGTCCTTGTACTTGTACTTTTAATTCCAAGTCCTTTGCTCTTTCCGAGAACTTTTTTCGATCGCAGTTGAGATGGTTGTGCTTTCGTCACTTCCATCACGCATGGTCTCATCATAAACTCGCTCCAAATGAGCCTGAAATTGAATATCAAAAAAAAAAAAATGTATGTACACAACATCTTAACATATTCAAAACAATGTCCATATCCACACATTTCAACTACGTACTAGTTTAATATATCAAAAGATAAATCGCATATGATAAACTAAAATATTCATATTAATAAACCACAACAGCATATCCATATCCATAGATTAGAAACGTATCCATATCCATAGATCCCAACTAAACACAACAACAATAAACATAAATATTTAGCTTACTACCATTTGAACAATAAAATTGCATTACACTTACTGAAATGTGAAGTTGTTTGGGAGTTGTTGTCCCATTAAGCGATTCTCTGTATCTTCCTCCTCACTAATAGTTGGCCCGATTCCCCTCGACACATCATTGTCCATGTAGGCTTTCTTATACGTATCAAACACCGTAGGACTTTTGCCAAATTTTTTAAACAATAATAATAGATTATAAAGTAAGTAGGTATTTTAAACTTAAATAAATTAAATTATAGATCAAATCACTTACATGACTGTAAGAACAACTATTGATACTTGTTCGACCTCAATGGTGGTTTGTCGAGACTTTCTTTCGCGAGTCATTGCATTTATTTGATTTGGACTGTGAAAAATAGCACATAAATTAATACACTCTAATATATATAAATATGATCCATAAATTAAAAGTATAGAATTTACATTCCCATCAACCCCAGGAGTAGAAAGAGAATGAATAGTTTCTCCTAAGTTTGAGCATTGATCCTATTTGGACGATTTGCCTTAGCAGTTGCAAGGTCTGGCGCTCTATCAAAAATTACCTTCAATCCTTTAGGTTTTTACATCTTTCCAACGACCATTCGCAGCCTCATTGAACCATTTCTTTGTAGCCTTATTTTCAGGAAGTTTCCAGATTCCCTGACAGGCATAATGAAGATTTCATTGATTTGAAACAAAATAATTTAAATAACTTAATAAAATAAAATAAAAATTAACTTTCAAATACTTTTGTTATCAATTTGGTCACTCTTTTTTTTCACTTATTTGGTCACCAATTAATTATTTTTACTGTCTCCAACAGTAATTTAACTGTCTTAGACAATAATATTAATAATATTACTGTTCGGGAAAATAATATTCATAATATTACTGTCACAAACAGTAATATTACTGTTTGAGACAGTAATTTAGTAGCCAAGACAGTAATATTAATTAAAATATTTTTTTTTAAGAAACAAAAATTTCAAAAAAAAAAAAAGTCAACGCCGGAGACCGGTGGTCAACGGTGGTTGACCGGCCGGAAAAAAATTTCAGGAAAAAAAAAGTTTTTCAAAAAAAATAAAAATAAAAAAATAAAGTCAACGCCGAATCTGGCCGGAAAAAAAAATTCAGAAAAAAAATTATTTTCTGAAAAAAAAAATTGGGGGTTAATGTGATATATTTGTTTAAATCCGGGGTCAATGTATAATATTAAGGAAGTTAGAGCATAATGGGTGGAATTGATAAGAATTATATTATGGAGGGTATTTTAGACTAAAGACAAGGGGATGGGTTTAATTGAGAGACTGTTTTTTTTTTTGTGGACCAAAAAACATTTAACTCCCATGTGATGGGCCTTTTTGCAATTCGCCATATTAAATATACCTTACAGAAAAAAAAATACTAAGAGGGAGAGTCCTATTGCTGCTGCATTACCTGTTGAAGGAGATGTTTATGAACATAAAACACTATATTTACATATAAAAAGGACGACAGAAAGAGAGAAAAGAACGAGAGAGAGAGAGAGAAAGATAGAAAAGAACGAGAGAGAGAGAAAGATAAAAAGGAGACAGAAAGAGAGAGAAGAACGAGAGAGAGAGAGAGAGAGAAAGATAGAAAAGAACGAGAGAGAGAAAGAGAGAGAATTAAGAACGAGAGAGAAGAATGAGGATTGCTCCAGGGTTTGTACCGTCGGACGAAGAGCTGATTAATCGCTACCTGTTGAAAGTATCAATGGGGATTCCACTGCCATGGAATTGGATGTCGGAAAAAGAGATTTACGGCGAAACAGCAGATCCATGGGAAGTTCTTCAAGACGTTCATTGGGAAGATTTTCATTCCGAAACGAAATTCAAGCACGTCACGTACGTTCTTACCAAGTTATTACGAGTTAATGGTAAGACTCGTATCGCCAGAAGAACAAAATCGGGTACTTGGAAGGGACAAACGAGTGGCAAAGAAATTTACGATGAGTCATCGGGAAATTTAATCGGCTTGTCCAAGATGTTCACCTTTTACAAGAATAAACCTAAAGGCCGGAGCGGCGAAGAAGAAGAAGAACACGGTCACTGGATTATGCAAGAGTTTTCATTGGCCGGGGTTTGTTTGAATTTTGAGTTGAAGTTTAAAGATTACGCAATTTGTAGAATCACTAGGATGTTTCCAAAGGAAAACTAAAAGGAAAAGACAAAGAAGCAGCCGAAGATTAGCAAAAGACGAAGGAATCGAAGAAGATCGTGATGCGTTTTCCAAGATGCAGAAGATTGATTTGGATAATATAGAGTTCGATTTCGATATCGATATCGATGACATTACGTTGAAAGATTTCGGATGGAGTTAGGAGAAATTAGTTATAGTTCTTAATTTTCGATTCGGATCAATTATTCAATGCAGCTTGATTTTTTTTTTCGACCATTATTTCCGGTCTCTACTGTGAGCAATTATGTTTGAAATTAATCAAGAATTTGTTTTTTTCTTGATTGCATCTGTTTTATTGTTTAATATATATATATATATATATATATATATCTTGAAACTACCAATAATTT